ATTGGTTGAGTAAGAAGGTAATGGTTGAAGGGAAAAATTAATCACATTGATATCATTAAAAAGGTGATTAAAATTCGTGATCAGAAGACCTTCTATTGATCTGTTCTTTGAAAAAAGTTTATCACCATACACTATAAATTGATTTTTTTGGACAATTTCAAAGTTATCCTTTAAGAGGTGTGCCTTATTTTTTTCAATTTCATTCGTGGTGGCTATGGAATTTATTTAAAGGAATTAACTTTACTTAAATTTTTGGATAATTATCTTTGTGATAACTTACTACTTATTTGCAATTCTTCAATTGCAGCATCCGATGACGTTGATTCGTCTTCTTACAGTTATCAATGAAGATATATTAATTATAATTTTTAACTATGTTGAATTTGAAAAAATGACGGTTCACGTACTATCAGAATCAGTTTCGGATGAAGAGGCGTGTTGTATTTGTGTTTTTTCTTTTTTTTTACGTGAAATATTTAACGAGACCTTACGCTTTCTTTTTTTTGATTTCTTTAAAAGCAATTTCTTGTAAGCATAAAGAATAATTTTTAGAATGTTCAAATGTTAAGCTTTTGAAAAGGCGAATTTATACCTGGTGATCGTCGTCTTCTTGAATTTCAGATGATTGCTCATTGTCTTTCTATGATTCACTATTGTCATCAATCTCATCCTCGGAGTCATCAATTTGTGATGGACTTCGCTGAAGTTTCAAATTTAATAATTCCTTTTTTTTAAATTTGTTAATTTTATAATGATTTAATCCAAACATTTAAATTGCGTTGATTTCTTTATGATAATGTACTTAGTGATAATTAAGGTTTAAATATTGGAAAATTCTTACGGATTAAAACGATAGGATATTTACTCGGAACATTTGCCATTCCATCATATGTACGCTTTAAATTATCAAGAAAAAAAGGTTAAATCCGTTACTTGCAAAATTCGAGTATTAAATAAATAGATTTTTGCCTGATTATCTTCGTTAGGAAAAATATCCGAATCATCGAGCATTAATTCCTCATTTTCCTTTATTATTATTATTATTAGATTAAATCCGTTACTAGCAAAATTCGAGTATTAAATAAATAGATTTTTTACCTGATTATCCTGAGAATCAATTTGATCGTTAGATTGGTCGAGCATTAATTCCTCATTTTCCTTTATTATTATTGTTGTTATTAGATTAAATCCGTTACTTGCAAAATTCGAGTATTAATAATAGATTTTTTACCTGATTATCGTTATCCCGAAAATCAATTTGATCGTTATATTGGTCGAGCATTAATTCCTCATTTTCCTTTATTATTATTATTAGATTAAATCCGTTACTTGCAAAATTCGAGTATTAAATAAATAGATTTTTTACCTGGTTATCCTGAGAATCAATTTGGTCGAGCATTAATTCCTCATTTTCCTTTATTTATTATTATTATTAGATTAAATCCGTTACTTGCAAAATTTGAGTATTAAATAAATAAATTTTTACCTGATTATTTTGAGAATCAAGTGGCTCTTGTGATGATATCGAATCATCGAGAATTAATTCTTCATTTTCCTTTATTATTATTATTATTATTGAGTTAAATTACTTGCAAAATTCGAGTATTAAATAAATAGTTTTTTTTTACCTGATTATCTTGCATTAATTCTTCATTTTTCTTTATTGTTATTATTATTTTAATACAAATTCTTTATATTCAATTTAATATTTTTTTATTTTTCATACATGGTTTTTCTCTGCATTTTCAACGTAATTTGTCTGTATTACCTCTTCCAAGGAAACATTATTAATAGGGGATATCAAATCGTGAATGTCGCTATCTACTATCTTTTTGTAGCTATTTCCATTTAATAAAATTGTGTCTGGTTCGTCCAGATCCTTGATTGTTGTACAACCATGGTTTAAAACAGTTGTAAATTCTAAAGGTCCAACGAAAGTTGCTGATGAATCATTTACATTCCAAAACAATTTAATCGAAATATCGATAATTTCTTTTTCAACCATTGTAACTTGAGAATTTTTTTTGAGAAAAAAAAAAGGTTTACATCATATTTTAGATCTAATGTATTTATAATAATGATTTTTTGACTGACGTATTTAAATTTTTGGCTAATTTTATCATTATTAATAATTTTGACGTATTTAATTTTTTTGAATTATGTGATCAACTATAATGAGTGCGTGCCAGCAACTAAGATTTTTTTATTTTCTATTTTTATAATGTTCATCTTTAATTTTTCTTTCAAAACAAAATATCAACATGATTTTTATGTATTCATAGGCACCAAAATTAGGGATGAGACCAAATATCATCCTCCGTGATCAGATTTAAAAATGATTGAACGCATCATTCAAGTCCACCCATCATTATTATGCCAATAGGCATCATGTGTGTTGACGGAACCTATTCGTATGCAACCATGACTTCGCTAACACTAAGCAGTTTTGGAAACATTCATGATCATCATGTCCCTCGTTATGGCCTGATGCATGGCTGTAAGTCAAAAATATAACGATAATATTACGGATCTAATAAGGTACGGGACTTAAAATTAAAATTTCAAATGATCCATTGAAATTTTTTTTTTTTTTTCACTAATTAAGAATCACCTATTTTTCGTATCGTTAGTCCATTTATAGATGGGGTGAAATTACTCTTCTTAATAAGAAGTTTTGTTGAAATTGTGGAAATTATTTGATAGTAAAATTGAAAAATTAATTTAAATTATGATACAGTAATAAATTTGCTAACGTGAATAAAAAATCTTTTATGATCCAAATGGTCTTTTAATTTTTTAAGTGCAATTATTAATTCACTGGGTTCCCACTTTGATCTGTGCACCGTTCCCATCACCAATTTCTTCAAAAATAGAGTAATCATTTTAAGAGTAAATTTTTAATATGCCTCTGGTGAATATTTCATATTCTAATAATTCTTTATACGTCAAACAAATATTTATTTACTAGGTGAATAAGTTAAAATATGAAAGGCGTATATTATGCATGTACTGTATATATACATACATATTAATACGTAGTACCACATAAACCTACATTGTCAATATCGAGATACTCTGAATGTTGCAAAGTTTAATAAAAAAATACGTATTTTTAATGCTCACGCTCATGTATAATTTTTTTTTATTTTGATTCTATTAACTTATAGAATTAAAAATTCGCCGAAATTAGTTATTAATCGAGAAATATTGGCTTAAAGTTCTAAAAACCTC